AGTCGACCAATACTGAATATAATGGAGGAATTGTCCCTTGGGTTTGTAAGATTCTGTCAGTCCTTCTGTGGAGGTGGGTTACCAAGTGTAAGTGCAGCACCCCTGGGTGAAGGATTGGGTGTCGGGTCAGGAGAGCACCTGTACTGACTACGGCGATTGCTGCTTGTCACAGAGATAGGAAGTCAGAGTGGGAGCTGACTCTCTTTGCCAGCCTTGAAACAAATGAGGTCACAGCTTTTTAAATATTGAAATGGGGGTATTGAGCTCCTCAAGTTGGATTAATAAGAAATCTGTATCTCCATATAAGATGTCTTTTCACCCCCTGAATTGTTAGTGACCCAGAGCCTCTCAGTTCAGAAACTAACTACTACTGGTAGGAGCAGCAGTAACAACTACTACTGAGAGTAGTTTTAGAGTGCTACTTCATCGGCAGCTTTAAGTACCACACAACTGTGTTTCTAATTGCCTGCTCATTACTTAAAGTTTCCTTGTCAAAACTAGGCTCATTCTACCCTGCTCCCCTACAGTCTTTTTTCCTAATTTTCTGACTGGTATTAGTATCCATCAGTCACCTCAGCTAGAAATGTTGGAGTTATCTTTAGTAGATTCTTACTCTTCAGCACCCCAACCCCCAGCCCAGATGAAATTTCTTAAGTGTCTCTCTCTCCAGTCCCACCCCCAGCATCCTGGTACAGACCTCACATCACTCATGTAAACTTTAACCAATTCTAACTGGTTTTCTCTCCTACGCCACTTCACCATAGTTTTGCCAGAATTGCTCATCTAAAGGATAGATCTGATTATTTACTATCCTTATATTAAAAGAGATCATGAATTTAAAATTACCCGGAGTAATAGCCCAATACCTCCCGTGTAAAATCACTCTGCTTTCGGCTGGCAGGTAAGGCCCTTAATGAGATGGCCTTCCTGTATGTTTCAGCTTCATCACCTGCCACTGCCCTTAAGAATCTTAAACTCCCGCACACAGAACTGCAGGAGATGGTACAACTCTGTGTCATCAACTTCGACAACTCCGAGCTTGCTCCTGGGGTGGGAAGGACATTTTGGGGAGCAAGCCCCAAGGGAATGGGAGGTGAATAGCTTTCACACAGGGGCTGCCGAAAAGAAGGCTCCTCAGGGCAGGCCTGTCAGCTCTAGCCAGAAAGCAGAGTTCCCTGCAAATAGTCCGCAGTTTGCTCACTGGGGGCCGCGGGTAAAAAGGGTAGGGATCAGCAGGCTAGGAAAATCAGGCCCATTTCTCAGGATTTAATATAAATGTATTTAGATAAAAGATGTTGAGAAATTTGGTGCCATTTAATTTGTACCAGATGAGCCTTCTATCTCAAGGGCTAAGAGGCGTTTAATAATTGTTTGTTGAACAATTTATTTCTGCTATTTTTTTACTCCACTCTATGAAGATACTATTTGTTTATAACCTTAGTATTACATTGAATTCTACTGTATTTGTTTTAGTTCTGGTCAGCCATTTCTTTTATTACCTTAAGAAAGGTTTACTTCCCTAACCCATTTGGCTCACTGGATAGAGCGTTGGCCTGCGGACAGAAGGGTCCCAGGTTCAATTCCAGTCAAGGGCATGTACCTTGGTTGCGAAAACATCCCTGGTCGAGGGTGTGCAAGAGGCAGCTGATGGATGTTTCTCTCTCATCGATGTTTCTAAACTCTATACCTTTCCCTTCTTCTCTGAAAAAATCAATAAAAAATATATTTTTTAAAAAAAAGGTTTACTAATGAATACCTACTATGCATCAACACAGTTCATTTGTAAGGCAAAGATATGATGGCTGTTCTTCATGAGCCTTCTAAGACTTGCATAGATGGACATATGATCTTTACATTCAACCGCTCACTTTTTGTATATTGCCATCTTTTTCTTTTATAATCCCAGACCATGAATAATCAATCATGTTCTGTGTGAATTATCTTTCTCTTCTGGAGAAGTGAAGGGAGATCCTGTCTGATGACTTCTCTGTTACAAAACTGTATGTATTTAATGAATTCTTTGTGTGAAGGAAAATGATCTGGTTGAGTCTTGAAATTCAGGGAAGGGTAGAATTAAGCTGCAATCTTTTTTAGAACTTGTCCAAGGAGCACAGTTACTAACTCGCAACAGGATTTCAGTTAAGGTTGTTTTACCTATAAAGAGAGTTTCATAGCATAGATCTAGTTTAGTAAGATTTCTTTTTGTTTGTATTTCTAGAAAGATTCCACCTCTTAGAGTTGAGTGTAAGCAAAGACAGAGAGAGATGTAGAAGGAATCAGGAAAGTGCATAGATTTCTGTACGGAATCACGCTGCTTTGGATACCCCACGGCCCCTAACAGCATCTTCTCCCTGACATTTATCCCTGGACGAGAAACTGACTAATTAGAACTGGAAAGACAGTAGAGGGCGGCTAAGGCTTCAGATGTCAATCTCTTACATACCTCGCACCATTTTTTAAAAATCGAAGAACTTGCACTCCCTCGATTGAAAAACAAACACACAACTTGGGCTCCAGTAATACCGAACAGACCTGCCCAGGCCCCACCCAGCATCTGGGGTCCAAACTTCTGCGGGTTCGTTTACTTACCTGTGGTCAGTTTATGTGGGTGGACTCGGTTTTCTTGGTCATACCTGCTTATCATCTTCAGGTCTCCTTTCTGACCCTCTGCTCTTTTGGTCCCAAATACGCAAGGAGACACTGCCAGAGCCCATGTACACCGGCTCCAGGACCTGTCCCCACAGCTGGTATTTTCAGGGTTGCTCCCTGCTTCTTTGGCTAACGGAAGGGCAATTCCGTTATCCCAGAGATCATTCATACACATCCAGTTGCCCTGAGGGACACCCAGCCTGTCTGCTCTAAGAAGCTCCCCACCCAGGAAGCCCTTCTTCCACCTTCCCCATATCTCTTCACATTTCTCTTGTTTTTCTGTTTTCTGCCCTTTATTTTTTTAAAATATATTTTATTGATTTTTTTTATAGAGAGGAAGAGAGAGGGATAGAAAATTAGAAACATCTATGAGAGAGAATCATCGATCAGCTGCCTCTTGCACACCCCCAACTGGGGATGTGCCCACAACCAAGGTACATGCCCTTGACCGGAATCGAACCTGGCACCTTTCAGTCTGCAGGTAGATGTCTATCCATTGAGCCAAACCGGTTTCGGCATATTTTCTGCCCTTTAAAAGTCCTCAGAGTCAGACTGTGACTCTCTGAGGAGTGCAATCCGTCAGGGGGGCCTTGGCCGCTTCTGTCCTTCACAGCATTCTTTCTTCCTCCATGGTGCCCCAGGTCCCTATTTGTTGTTTGGTTTTTGTCTTTATTTTGGAAGAAATGTTTTTAAATGTTGCAGGGGGCAGCCCACAGCCAGAATCTCCCTTTTTCCACTTTTCCCTTCTTTCCTCCACTCAGCCTGCCTCAGGAATCTGGTCTTCCATAAAGTATGCAAAACTCACATTGTATTTTCAGTCTCATGATTTTCAGAGGTATAACTTCTGGAACTAGGAGAGTAAGGTTATGTGCTCAAAAAACAAAGCAGATGTGCTCTTAGAAAGTTCCAGATTCCTCCAGACTCACCCCCACCCCCACCCCGCCCCACAGTGCTTTATCATAGCATTCGGTCACCTTTGAAAAGAGAGTGTCCCTTGTGCTGGGATGTGCAGGGCTCCGGTGGGGAAGCAAGCTGGCACTGACCCAGCCAGGGAGAGTGTGGCCTCGCCATGCAGCTCTTGCCAGGGAACCAGGAGGGCGGGGGCTGGCAATCCCCTGGCAGTGCCAGCAGCGAAGACCAGTGTGCTGCAGCCTTGGTGGGTGCACAACGTCCATGATCTAGAAGATCGAGGACAAGACCCCTGCAGGAAAGGAGCTTCTTCTTGCCCAAACCATGCTGCTAGCCAGCCAGGAAAGTGTGTGTTTGGGTGCTGGAACTGACACCATGTTCGCCCGTAGGTTTGTCTGCCAGAGTTCCCCCGGGAGCGCCTCCAGACACGCCCTGTTCTGGACATCTTGAAGAGCCTGTAAATTCTGCCGGCTGCGTCATTTCAGTCGTGCTTGGTCATTCTCATAAAGTTCGGAACAGGATTTATTGTTTCTAAACTGTGATCTTTACAGGTGTTTGATATAAAAATGGTTCTGTTACAAACTAAAATACCTACCCTCTCAAGCATGTAGCAGCACATAACAATACTGTAAATTTGGAAATCTATGTAATGCCTGTATTCACCCATGATAGATATTAAAAATAGAATTAATATTCATATTGCCATTTTTAAAAAGGAAGGTACTTATTTCCAAACAGAACATAAAAGTTTCCTTAAACCCCTGGGCAGCGTGGGCCGAGCCCCAGTTCTAGGGGCATCTCCCCTGTGAGTTGGGCTGAGAAAGACAAAGCCTTCCTCCTGTGCCTCGATGTCTCTCTGCTCCTGCTCTGTCACCTCTGAGGGCGATGCCTCCACCAGCTCTGTCCTCCTGCCCTGCTGCTGTGCCAGCAGCCTCAAAAAGCTCTGCGTCTCAGGCCCTGAGCCAGTGCCACACATTCTCCCTGGTGTCTGCACCCGACTGCCGCCAGGTGGGCAGGCTGCCCGCAGGCTTGGCCCTTGCAGGGGGATGGCTGCAGCAGCTCCCAGGAGGGGATTTCAGGCTGCAGTCCCATCCTCCCCTCTTCTGCCTCAGCTGCTTCCTTGTGATGCTGTCACCCAGAAAACACTCCCAAGAAGGAATTTTAAGTGTGTCCCAGATGAAATGCACTCAGGAAATCTTTTACCATAAGGAAATTTGTCCAGAAAGAGATGAAACTGAGATGCATCAGGAATATAATTGGTTTCTTCAGGCCATAGCCAATTTCTTTGCCTTTAATTTTTACGGACTACTTCGTATCTAGAAGCTTGTATCTGGAAGCCGTAATTTTTGCCATTTCCAGAGACGGGGTGGTGGCATTTTTGATAGTGGACTATTTTTTCTTTTGCTGATTTACAGTGCTCTTTTTTGCCCTGCTCCCATTAGGAAGTGAAAGCATGGAAATTAAAAAACAAATTACAGGAATGAGAAGATTGCTGAATGACAGCACTGGGAGGATCTATCAACGTGTTGGCAAGGAAGGAGAAAAGTTAAAAGAAGAACCCCAGGATTTGGACTCGGTCTGGCCTCAGCGTTTGAACTCCTCTGCTGAGGCCCCACCGAGCCTCCACCCTTCTCGGGGTGCTTGGAGTGAGTTCCCAGCCCAGAGCGGCCAGTTCTCAGGGCAGCCTGGCCCCCGCTCGAGAACCTTCCAGAGTCAGCCCCACACTGCTGGGAGCTCCAACGGTAGGTATGACTGATAACAGACATTCAGAATGCATTGATGGGGGGCTGTCCGAATGTTGTTTTATTCCTAAATGTTCACTTAAAGTTTTCACTAAGTTCTTGGAAACTTTTAAGCATAAGAAATGAAATCAGTTTTACTATAGTTCGATATAAACAAGAGATAAGTTCCTATGACCTATTTCTTATCACAAAAGCACCACCAAACTTGCAAGACCCAAAAGACTTCTAATATTAAACATTGAAGTAAATATAAGTTATTCCATACATTTAAGAAAGGTTATTAAAAATAAGTAAGAGCCAAAACCGGTTTGGCTCAGTGGATAGAGCGTCAGCCTGCAGACTGAAGGGTCTCACGTTCGATTCTGGTCAAGGGCATGTACCTTGGTTTCGGGCACATCCCCAGTAGGGGGTGTGCAAGAGGCAGCTGATCAATGATTCTCTCTCATCAATGTTTCTAACTCTCTATCCCTCTCTCTTCCTCTCTGTAAAAAATCAATAAAATATATTATATAAAAAAAAAAGTAAGAGGGTACTTTGCCAACCCCCTGACTACAGATCAGGGTCACCTGTGGCCAGAGCCCTTCTCAGCAGCTCAGGTCACAAAGCAAGGATTAAGGACACCATTAATCCTAGAGCCTCACACAGCCCACTCTCACTCAGACTAGGACAATGTAGACACACCAGTGAACGTCAGGTACTGCACATCTTTGAGATATGGGTGGAAACAAGTCCCTGGAAAAACCCACGCAGATACCAGGAGAACATGCCAACTCCCCACAGATAGTGGCCCAGACCTGGAATCAACTTCTTTCTCATCAACATTATAAGAAAACCTGAGGCTCAGTGCACAAAACGCGTGCACTTGGAGGGGTGGTCTATGCTGGCAGCCGGAGTGGTCTAAGCTGGCTTAGGACTTAGCGCTGCTTGGAGGTGAGAGAGATTCCCACCACCGCTGCTACACTAGCCAGCTGTGAGCCAGGCTTCTGGCTGACCAGCGCTCTCCTTGTGGGAGTGCACTGACCACCAGGGGGCAGCTCCTGCATTGAGCATCTGCCCCCTGCTGGTCAGTGAGCATCATAGTGACCAGTTCCACTGTTCGGTCAATTTGCATATTAGCCTTTTATTATATAAGATGGTCTTTGGTTGATTACCTCCCACCCACCCACGATCAGGGCCAGGGAGGTACTACAGGAGGGATCCAGGGCATGTCTGGCCCATCTCACTCGGTCCCAATCAGTTGGACCCCAGCAGCAAGCTAACCTACCAGTCAGAGAGTCTGCCCCCTAGTGATCAATGCACATCATTGTGACTGGTAGACCTGTCCACTGTCTGCCCCGCTGGTCAGTGTACATCATCGTGAGCAGCCTTAGCATATCATTAGCATATTATGCTTTGATTGGTTGAATGGTTGACTGGACGACTAGACACTTAGCATATTAGGCTTTTATTATATAGGATGACATTTGTTGAGGATCTGCTGTACAGTAAGCCCTCCCTTAATCACCTGCCTTAGCTCTTATTTCAAAAGACAGGGAAGACATAGTGGAAAAGTTGCAGACTATAGGATACCAGTATTGAGAAGCAGGGAAGAATGGGGGCTCTATAGTAAAAGCGGTGATTTCTTAGTAGAGATTTTAGCCCATCATTGTTGATGGATCATTATTGTCACAAAACACTGAACATTAGGGCAGAAAGAGCTCCCTTTTGTCATTAAAAGAAGCTTTGTGGTCGTATGGTGTATTATTCATATATCCTCTTGCTGACATGGTTGCTTTTTTTCATTATCAGAGGAGTCTGATATAGGGAGGACTGATAACCTAACACCCTAGTACCTTCATTTTAACTTCACAATCCAGCTACTGAACCAAGTCATTCATAGTTCATAACTTGTTTCATTAGAGTTGAAATCTAGCCCTTTAAAGTAACATTTTCTTAATTTAAAATTTTAATTGTTTACAAAAATCAAGTGGGAGTGTTTCAAAGCTTAAGAGAGAAAAATGGGTGGGTTTTTTTTTTTTTAGTTATGTTCATTTCTATTCATAGATATTGGGTGTAACTTGTTCTATAAATTATGTATAGATGTGCAGTTCTATAATTCACACAAAGAAAACAAGAAAAAGTAATGCATTTTTCTTTCCTTAACAAAGGATTTTTCCTCATCTATTATCCTTCAAGATTAAGAGAAGTGTTTTGATTGTTGTTTTTTAAGCACAGTTTCCAGTAACCAGTTCAGATGCATGAAAAGCCACCCTGAGACAGTGGTGATGAGATAGCAAGGGACCCCACGAGATGTACTGGTGTCTTCTGTTTCCCTCAATATTACATAAGTCAGTATCAGATTCACAGGCTGGCATGCTTCCAGGTTGGAGAGAGGTGACTCTTGAAAGACTCCTCCATAAAAATAAAAAGGCAGTTCTCTTTCAAATTTGAAAATGATTTATAACACACCGAAAAGAGTTGGTTTGTCCTCTAAAAAGGATAAAGACAGTACTTAAAATAGTGTTTAGAAATATTCTACAGGTCCTCCTGGTTCTTCAGCCACGAAAGAAACGAAAGAGAAATAAGAAGCTTTCAGATGTGGATAGAGTTAGTACACCTCACATCAGTACATTTTGGGCTAACAGAGTTTGGTTTCCAGTACACAACAAGGAAGGTGCATTTTCTTTGGAAAATATGTTAAAAACTGCAAACATAAATTCCCTCATATTCATTTGAAAATAAAGCTTTTGTGTTTATTTTTATATTATTATATATGACTGTGACTGGTATGTCATTAAAATTATTTGTAATTTTAAGGTGTTATAACATCTCAGTTTGTACAACTTTGAATGTAAATAATTGTGCTATTCCAAACATTAAGTTATCTTTAAGTATTTCATAGTTTTGCTGTAGTGAATTTTTCTTTTATATCCACATGTTAGAGTTTAGATTATATGTAATGTATAATAAAAGATGTAACTGACGAAAACCTATCTTAGAACTTACTCTTCCAACCATGGAAAAACCCAAAGTGATAGTAGTGTCTTACACAGTCCATTTTGTGGTAGTGGATTGGATACTAATGCAGTAGGACTACTGAAACAGTGATTTTCCAAACATTCCATTTTATTCTAAGGAGAATAAAAAATATATATATATTTTTTTACTTCTAAGGGAAACAAAATAGGGTTGATATTTTAAGGAAGTTGTATTAGATTTAAACAGTTAAAATAGTCTAAAATGAGGGAAATCTAAGAAATGGGAATGAAAAAAATACATAGGATCATTGCCTTTATTAAGGTGGAGAAAAGCCAGTACAAGTTCACATGTCCTCCCATACTCTGCTCTCCTACTCTTCCCCACCCACACACCATACTCAGAGAGGGCTTAAAAGTTTTAATGTGTTGACAGTTCTTAATTTTTGAAATAGCATGCTTAACACTAAGACTATTTTATTAATAGTTAGACACATTTAATTCTTAACTGGAACCTTTATAACACATGCAGCTACCGGGTTTTTTGAAAGGTCTAGATTTTTGAAAGGTCCTCAGATCTAGATTTTTGTGCAGAATAGCGTGAGCACGTTTCTAGTGAAGTTTTAAGCTATTTTATCTGAGATGAACTGGTGTGACAAGAGCGAGGCCTGCTGGGACAGCACATGGTGTGCAGATGTTCCTGCGGCTCCACCACCCGTGAAACCGCAGGAACCTTATAACACAGAGGAGCCTGGATAATTAGATAAAGTCAGACCCCCCTCATTTAAGTTGTGAAAATTATTGGGTACGTGTTCCTTAGACGCAGTCTCATAATTGCACAGGCTTCAAAGTCCTGTCAAGATACCTTTTTTCTCTCTCTTTATAGTTTTGGTATTGTTTGGAGTATGTCATTCTTTTCTTTTGTGCCTTAGGAGAACTTCCAGTGGTAAATTCATCAGTTGGATCAAACTGCTGCACTTGTAACTGCCAGTCAACATTGCAGGCCATTCTCCAAGAACTCAAGACCATGCGGAAATTAATGCAAATTCAAGCAGGTACAATGATTACACATCAGATCAAATCCTCTGATTCTTTTTTTTTTTTTAATATATTTTATTGATTTTTTACAGAGAGGAAGGGAGAGAGATAGAGAACTAGAAACGTCGATGAGAGAGACCAGCTGCCTCTTGCACACCCGCTACTGGGGATGTGCCCGCAACCAATGTACATGCCCTTGTCCAGAATCGAACCTGGGACCTTTCAGTCGGCAGACTGACGCTCTACCACTGAGCCAAACCGGTTTCGGCCAAGTCCTCTGATTCTTAATGCATGCCTGACATCTTCAGTTGGGATGTTTTTTATTGTGCTTTTATTGTTGAGTTCTTCCCTCTGCTGTCTTAAGTATCCATTTTCTTAGCTTTTCTTCCAACCTATTTTCCTTTTAGAACATCTAACAAAATGTGTATTGCTAAGAATACTAATCCTTTACTTAAGTACATGTGCTCTGCATACCTCAATCCCTGATCTCCTAGCACCTCACGTGTCAGTTTTTTTTTTATTTTATTTAGTTCATTATATTCTGAAACAGTTCTACATGAAGGGAGCAGAGTTCTTCAGCTCATTGTCCGAATGTGAATGGACAAAGGTTCCAATCAGGAAAGAAAAGGAGCTGCCTTATCTGGCCCCTTGCGGTGCTGTTTGATGGCTGCCTGCATCTTGACCTCCACGAGTCCCTTTGGGACTTGGCATGACAGTGTGGAAGCCACACAGTCCGGTCGGTGTGGAGGAGGCCTTCGGGAAGCATGGACCCTGCTGGTTGGTGGCTTTTCTTCCCAATATTCAGGACATAGGAGCTCAGGCATGGCTTACCTTCTTCATTTACATGATGCCTTTTTTGTCCTCACTCCTCTGAGGCTGAAGAACTCCTGTGCAACTTCTCTGAGCCTCAGATTTCTCCCCTGTCTCCGGAGTACTAACCTCTCACTCTCAGGGCTGTTTTCAAAGGGGAATGAGATAGTAAATGAATTCTTTTAGGCATGGCACAAGTGTAAGCAATTTGTTAGTGTTGTTATAAAGACCACAGAGCATTTTATAGAAGCCTAGATCTTGATGATAGCAGCTCTGTTTTCTAACCTTCACAATTAGGGGGGCAAAACAGAACTTTTTTGTTACAGGTACTAAAAATAATCTATCATTTTATTAACTTTTCCTCTTGTCAGAGAAAACCGCTCCTTGGCCTTGGCCTAAAGCAGGAAATAGTACAGTGATGTGTGACTAGCATTCCCCTCCTTTCATTGTAAAGGTGTTCATGAAGGTCATGGTTCAGAAATTGTACATGATGCCTTTTAGTGAATTCTAGTAAAACTTTACTTTTTAATGATATGGTTTTGATATTAAAAAGCTTATTACTTAAGACATCTCAGTCACCCAAGATCACATAAAAGTAAGGTGAGTACTCAGCCTAGTGTGGCCCAGTGGTTGAGCATTGGCCCGCACGCCTACGGATTGCGGGTTTGATTCCTATCTAGGGGCTGTACCTCGGTTGCACATTTGATTCCTAGCACTGATTAGGGCACATGTGGAGGCAGCCAGTGTGTCTCTTTGTCATCGATGTTTCTCGCTCTTCTGGATGCTAGAAACTTTGACTATGTCTAGACTTGCAAAAGGAGAAAAAAACTGATAGTCCCTGTGTTGAAACCAAAAAATATGTTCACTTTTAATTTAAAATAGTGAGTCTTTGAGAGGCATGTGTTCTAGACTATCTTGATAATTGCTTTAATAGTCCACTTGACTTTGGGGAAAATTCAGAGAGAAGAGAGAAAAGTTCTCCACTCTGGCTTGCACATTAGAATTTCTTGAGGAGCTTTAGAAAAATCTCAGTGCATGGGAACCACCCTGGAAATTCTGATTTGATTAGTCTGGGGTAAGGCCGAGGCACTGACATTTTTTTCAAGCTCCAAGGTGATTGTAATGTACAGCCAAGGTAAAAAAAACTATAAGCTCAAAGAATTACTGCATGGGTGATTAAAAACTTTTCATTTTATATGCAGTATAAATAGTTTGTTTCCAACAGTTAAAATTTATTTATAGGCTGGAGATGAAAATATCAAATTTAAAATGTAAATATTGTTTATTTGCAAGCTGATAGGAAATGATCTATATTTACTTGCATTTAAAGATATTCAGTTTTCATTTGACATATTTATAGGTATATTTCTACAAAAAGGCAGGTCACATTTAGTAAGCCATATTAACACATGAAAATTTCATATTTTTCCTTTAACTTTTCCATGAGAGTATTTTTAAATGGTTAAAAGACATTACTTCTCAAAGTGCACCTGAAAAAAAAACGATAATTACCATCCTTGTTTCTTTAAGTATATTTTTGGTATTAGTACTTAGTTCTTGTTCAGTGCTTTTTGTCTTTGGAACGCAAACTATTTCTGGATTTTACTCATTTGCTTGATGCATGTAGGACTGTATTATTTCTATTTTCTGCCACATAAAACTGAGGTGTGGAGAAGTGGCCAGTCTGAGCCAGCAGTGTAGTGCTGTGGAGATAGTTGATGTCTGTGAGGAAGGAGTTACAGGGCCTGACAAGCGACCAGCAGGCTTTGCCCACATGCTTGCTGGTACATGCGTACTGGTCGTTCCAGACTATTCATTTGCTCAGCCTTTCCCAAGTGATCGTCCTTGTCCAGTCTTTGTCCACTTTAGTGCTAGCAACTGATCAGTTTAACCCCAAATGACAATTGAGTGTTCCCGAGACTGGCTTCCCAGAAAATATGGATATCTACACTTCAGTTTAAGTTCTGGAGTTCTCATTTATAACAACTAGAGTCCTGGTATACAAAATTTGTGCAGAGGCGGAGGGGCAGTCCCTCAGCCTGGCTGCACCCTCTCTCAATCTGGGACCACTGGCTTCTAACTGCTAGTCTGCCTGCCTGCCTGATAGCCCCTAACCATTCACCTTCCTGCCTCATCGGCCCTAACCACTCACCTGTCTGCCTCATCGCCCCTACTGCTCGCCTGCCTGCCTGATCACCCCTAACCACCTCTGCCTTGGCCCCCACCGCCATGGCTTTGTCCAAAAGGACGTCCGGAATGATATCCAGAAGGTCATTTGACTATCTGGTCTAATTAGCATATTACACTTTTATTATAGACTCATGGCCCAGGGCACAAAATTTATGCACAGAGGGGGGTTGTCCCTCAGCCCAGCCTGCACCCTCTCTAATCTGGGACCTCTCAGGATCAGGCCTAAACAGGCAGTCGGACATCCCCCTCGCAATCCGGGACCACTGGCTCCTAACTGCTCACCTGCCTACCTGCCTGATCACCCCTATTCACTCTGCCTGCCAGCCTACTCGCTCCCAACTACCTGCCCTCACTAGCCTTCTCACCCCCAACTCCCCCCCCTTGCTGGCCTGACTGTCCCTAACTGCCCACCTGCCAGCCTGCTCGCCCCCAATTGTCATCCCCGCCCCCGCCGCTGGCCTGATTGCCCCCACCTGCCCCCACCCTACCAGCCTGCTCACCCCCAACTACCCCCTCCTGCTGCTCTGCTTACCGTACATCCAACTGCCCTCCCTGCTGACCTGATCATCTCCAACTGCCCCCCACTGCCCTCCCTGCTGACCTGATCATCTCCAACTGCCCTCCCTGCTGACCTGATCATCTCCAACTGCCCCCTCAACTGGCCCCCCTGCTGGCCTGCTCGCCCCCAACTGCCCCTTCCCCCACCGGCCTGATCATCCCCAAATGCCCTCCCCTCCTGGCCTGATCACCCCTAACCTCCTCTGCCTTGGCCCCGCCACCATGGCTTTGTCCGGAAGTACGTACGGAAGGTCTCCCATAAGGTCTCCCAGTCTAATTAGCATATTACCTTTTATTAGTACAGATGCCATATGAGTGTAAAATCACGCTCAGATGTTTCCTCATAGCTCATCATTGAACCCGGCAGTAGCTATATGATCGATTATTCACCAACATTTGCAGCAGAGTTCTCTCTTGGGTGTTTTTCTGCTTGTAGAACTGTGAGATGCTCCAGAGCCTTTATTTGGCAAAGCCAGGTTCTGCGTGCTCTATGTGGTGTGCTCCATCCTTGAGTGAGCCCCATTAAAGCCTCAGCCAGTGGACCATGCAGATAGATGGTGATACATTTCCCTAAGTTGGACACAAGTGCCTGTACCATGTTTTTGTTTATTGTTCACAGTTGGAACCCCAAACCGACAACAACCCCCAATTTCCCTTGTATGCTCCCAGCGAACTGCTGTCTCACGCAAGAGAAACAAAAAGAAAAAAGTGCCCCCAAAGACCGCTGAACTTCTTACTGTGAAGCAGAAGCCCAGTGTGGTAGAAACTGCGAAGAAGACAGGGGTGGCCTCAGAGCCGTTGGCCCCCCAGGCAGCTGAGCGCACCTCCTCGGGGGAGAACCACGTCCTAGGATTTGGCATTGTTCTGGAATCGCCTTCCTCAGATGTAAGTTGATGTTTTCTGGCTGCTGACTCTAATGTGACATAACTGTTAGGAATTTTCTCAAACACTATGCTTCCCCCTTAACTCATACTGCCCAGGCAAACTGGGAAAAACTTGCAGAATACATGTGGGAAAGAGGGAAGGAAGACGATGAATAATTTCCCTGCCTAGAATTTTCCCTTCGGAAAATCTTATGCCTTATTTAAACTTGTTTTCATTCTGTACCTCTGAAAGAAGGGTGAGGGAGTAATCTGCTCACTAATTTCTTTAACATTTTTAATTTTGAAGTGTCCATTTTCAATTTCCTCAGTGTAGAGCTAAAAGAACATAATTAAATCCTTTGTAGATGGGCATAAATGAATCAAACCTTACAGAACAGGTCACACCTTTCTAGAAACACAAACTAATAATAAAAAAGGAGCAGCAGTGCTAATTCTATTTTATAGATGCAAGCAACACTGCTAATTAGGCTGCAGTGCCATGTCATTTACTCTATGTAATGATAGTTAATGCTCTGCAAAGGTTTTCTATTTTAATATCATAGCCAGAATATTGTTGCAAGTCCAAAATGTTGGATGACATCTGAGATATCTCTCTGACTTGCCATTTTATATTCAATGACCATAAACTAATTTTGTTAATAATGTGCTAAATGTGCAATTGCATTCTCTCTTTATAATATCTAAGAGCATTGGTATTTCTAACACAACTTACTGGGAGAGTTCTTAAAATAAACAAGAGTGAGTGATCTGTTATTATCAGATTGCATAGAATGAGAATCCTGCTGAGAACTCCCATAGGCGTATGTGGGGTTGGAGTTTGGACCTACCTTTTAAGTAAGAAATAAATTGCTGTTTTTAAAAAGTGTTCTCTTTCACATTTCACAGGAAGACAGTTTGCTAGCATTTATCTGTATTGGGTCTTAATAAAGGGGGGGGGGTGCAACAAAAATCATCTTGTGACTTTTTTAGAGTAGAAAATCATTCGAACTTTTATTCAGTCCTCAGTGTCAAAGGTTTTTTTGTTTTAATTTTTTGTTTATGAACACATGCTATAATTGTTAAGAAATTTTTCTAGACTAAAACTTAATTTTAATATATTTTATTGATTTTTCTTACAGAGAGGAAGGAGAAAGATAGAGAGCTAGAAACATCGATGAGAGAGAAACATTGACCAGCTGCCTCTTGCACACCCCCTACTGGGGATGTGCCCGCAACCAATGTACATGCCCCTGACCGGAATCGAACCTGGAACCTTTCAGTTCGCAGACCGACACTCTACCACCTAGCCAAACCGGTTTCGGCCTAAAACTTAATTTTAAAATATTAATGATGATAATGTTATACTCTAGACCAGTCAGCTCCTTTGATTAAAGCATATTGTTTTGAAACTAACGCTCTGGTCAAAACCCATGTAGATCACATATTTGAAAACAGAGGTACATTATTACATAACACAAAATATATTCAATCATAAATTTTCTTAATACCTTTATTTTTTAGCATTCTTTTCTGATAGGCTTTGTTGTATCAAGAGCAGTCAGTTAAGTTGTATAAATCATCTCCTAATGCTAATAACTGAACCTTCTCCTTTTTTAATTTTTATGCTTCAAATAATCTTCACCTGTGCAATGTGTACCATCAGTGGATAAAGAAATTCTGTCCACAGATAGTGTTCAGTGGCATTCATGGATGGAGGAGATTGACTCCCTTTGGTGTTGGGACCATCAATGCTAAGGCATCCAAACTTAGTGCCTTCTAGACATACTATTTCTTAGCCATGAATCTTTTAAAATTTGGTGGAAGTCCAGAGGAAAAAACCTATTATATAATACTCTTAAAGGAACCTTTCTATAAAACAGATTGGAGAAAATACAATTGGACATATATAAGTGAGTGGGAAATGTGTATTTAAAGATGGACTCTGAAAAGTACACAGCATTGGAAGAAGTAGATCCAGAGTTGTAGGATTGGGCAGGTGGTAGCAGATAATGATGTAAAAGTAGGGCAGGGCCAGATACTGAAGGACATATAATGTCTTGTCAATGCCTGTGGTCTTAATCTTATGGGCACTAGGGAACTATTGCAAGTTCCAAGTAGAGAAGTAATCATACCTATGTTTCAGAATGGAAAGTGGAACAACCTGTTGTGGATGGAGAGAAGATACTAGACACAAAGAGACCAGAGGCAGATAATGACAGTCAGCCAGGCAAGAGATTGGGAGGGTCAGTACATAAGCAGTGAGCCCGACGAGAAAACATGAGAGACATTTAGGAGGTACCTGACTAGGAAGTAACCCCCAATTTCTGTCTTGGAAAACTGGGCTGTTTACATGCTTACTAGATGGTCCTGACTTCTTTAATTGAGATAGGAAAAGAAACCAGGAGCAGCCTTCAGCTCCGGATGGGAAGTAAAAGTTTGGAGGGCAGGAGAAAGATTAGAGCTAGAAGCAATGAAATATGAGACATAAAACCTATGTTATGTTACCTTTTTAAGTGTAAAAAATTCTGTACATTTTTAAAATTAATAATGTATTTTTTTATGCTGTGACTTTTAGAGAGACCCAAATATAAATTTATATCTCTATGCACAAACACAAACCTAAGCACACACGTGGGGCCATTGATGGTTGCAAGTAGAACATTGATAATGATTACCTGTGTTCAAAGGCAGAAAAAACAGTGAGCTCTAATCACAGGCAACTGCAGTGTCAATGCCTAGCACAGCTACCCTCACCTTCCTCAGCTTTCCCTCCATAAAATGGGCTTAGTGATAGTGCTGGCCTCACAGAGCTGGCCTGTTGGAAGAATTAAATGAAGTAATCGATGTAAAATTTTTTGAATAGTACCTGGTAAATTTCAAGCTCCCAGTAAATACTGATTCTTTTTAAACTTATAGTAGTCCTAGCTAAGTATCTTTAGAGGGATGAGTATAAATATTTAAGTAAATTTATGTTTACATATAAATGAACAAATATACATGAACAAATTGTGTTTTTTTTAATGAGTGGCCAGAAATGTTTCTCTTTGGGGGCAGGATTATGTGACCCAAATTAATTAGCTCATTAAACAAAATTGAAATCTAAATTATACCAACACAAAATCAGAAACCCCAAACCAAACTTTAGATTTAAGTATAATATTTAATTCTTTTTTGACATATGTAGTACAACCCAATAATCTAGTGATATTCAGACAAGACAGTTGTGAATTTTTTACAGTTCCTTTTTTGTCTGCTTAGTTGGATATATTGGTTTGTGTTTTTAGGGCAGATATACATGGCGTAGGTTTGTTCCATTGTTGTTGCTTCTTGTTTGGCTTGGTTTTTTGGCTTTGGTGAAACACTAGAATCAGTTTTTTTTAAATACTTTAAATGTTTTTTTTAAAACATAAAAAACACTTTTCTATTTTTGTAATAACAATGAATATTTTTCAGTAAATCCTAAATTACACAAAAGTTATCAGAGGATAAATCTAAAGACATCTATCAATTTAAGATATTTTTGTTAGTGTTTCTTTTACGTCATTATTAAATAATTTAAAATGCATTGGTGCTTTCAATAGCTGTGACTTCTGAATTTAGAATCTGTTTTCTTAACTTCTTCTTAGCACAATAAATAAAGCAATTCACTGGGAACTAGTAAAGTAAATCAACCAGGCAAGCCATTTTTAAATTTATTCATTGACACATTGAATTAAGGCAATATATGCTTGTTAGTATAAGTTCCAGCCAAGACTGCCTGGGTTCAAATCCTTACCTCATTACTTATTAGTTGGGTAATTTTTATGTTACCTAATGTCTCTAAACTTTAGTTTTTGCATCTGAAAGTTGGGGATAATAATAGTAGCCACTTTATAGGCTGAGAGTTAAGTTAGGAAACCCATGGAATGTGTGTTACTAGGGCCTAGAATATGGTAAGTAACAAATAGTAAGCCAGTCTGAAACTTGCCTAGCTGGCCTGCCAAGTATGTAAACTCTTATGTCTAATTTATTAACTTACAATTAAAAATCTGGGGCTAGTGCCCACTCTGAATATTTATACATTTATTTTTACTCTTTTAACCTGTGATCACATATAGCTTTTTACATGTCTTACTAAAATTTGGTATTGATAATCCTATCTAATAAAGAGGGAATATGCTACTTGACCATCACACCCTCACAAAGATGGCGGCACCCACAGCCAATAAAAAGGGAATGTGCTAATTGACTGTCACACCTACAAAGATGGTTGTGCCCACAGCCACTAGATGGTGGTGTCCAGTCCCCTCAGCCCTGCTGGGGCGGCAGGCACGTGGCAAGGCTGGGCCTGCTCTCAGGCACGTCCAGCCACTCTGTGTGCCTGCCTCCCGAGTCCCCCACCCCCCTCAGCTCCCTAGCCACCCAGGGCCGGCCTGAGGCACAGGCAAGCCTCTGATGTCGGCTACCCAGCCACCCAGGGCCACATGAGGCTCAGGTAACCAGGGCCAGCCTAGGCTTGCACTGCTGGCAGTGGCAGCAGCAGAAGTGTGATGGGGGCATTGCCCTCCCCTGATCACTGGGTTGCCTCCCACCCTTGAGGGCTCCTGGACTGTGAAAGGGAACAGGCCAGGCTGAGGGACCCACCTCCAGTGCATGAATTTTCATGCAGTGGGCCTCTAGTAGCTTATATAAAAAGCCTGTATCAGAAACGTTCCCTCTGTGATTAACTTGTATCATTTCTTTCAAATTATTTTACATATTTTTCTTTAGATTATACAGGGAAGTCACATTATATTCTTAGAGGGCCTTAAGGAAGAAAAAAATTAATTTATCTGGTCAGAGGATCTCTTATCCACAGTGGGTTTTGACCCAAACTACAGTTGCCAACTCCCCACATAGTAAAAAATCCACATATAATTCTTGACTTCCCCAGAATTTAACTACACAGTTGTTTCTCAGTACCAGAGGGGAACTGGTTCCAGGACCCCCTGTGGATACCAAAACCCACAGATGCTCAAGTCCCCTATGTAAATGGCAGAGAACAATACATGTGATAAGCTCTTCGCATCCTAGATCAAAAACAGTATAGGGATTTATGGGGAGAAAATCCATGTGTAAGTTGACCCACACAGTTTCAAACCCTGATATTCCAGGGTCAATTTACTTCTAAGCAGAGGGAGACCACAACTGAAATGGAAAGAGAAACAAGATAATTGATGTTCACAAACCTGGGCCCAGGAGCATTTTCAAGAGTCCTTATGACTACATGCCGTTTTTCCTACAGAACTTTACTCAGTGTCAGATGGAATGCCACTGGATAAGGAAAATTCAACATGTGACATGTTACTGTGCTGAGTAGCTGAGGTACATGGGATGCATGAAAATTCAAATTTATACTGGGAATTCAGACTCTTAGCTCTTAAAATAATGACTATAAGTGCTATAAATTATGCCCCACACTTTGGATGTCACCATTCAAAGATCTTAAGTACTCAATAGAATATGTTGAAACATATTACTTCTGTAATGAATAGAGTCTGAAAATTGGTGTGCTAACTATCTGTCTTCATGGGAGTATCAAATAGTGATTCTGTCCAAGGAAGTCTAGTTTTTAAAAGGATATTCACTTGGAATGCTGGTTTCTACCATAGCCATGATTAGTAAGCAGAGAGATTTCACTTAAACTAGAGACAATAAACAAAAAAAGAGATTCAGAGATACAATTAAAGAGTTTAGCCTGTTTTTAAATATATATACAAAGATGTGGGTCATTAGATAGTAGTAATGTTATATTTATAAATGGAGAAAATAAAAAGGTTTCATGTGAAAATTTAAGATTATCTTTTCCTCATTATCTCAGAAAGTGAAGCTATTTTTAAGAAATTGGTTTGCATTGTGTTGCATTGTAGATATAATGTTAGTGTTCATTCACCACCAGCTAAGAAATCTGCATAAGAGAAAGCACCTGAAGAGCAGGAAGGGGACAGAGATTTGTGGCTTTTGCTCTGTCTGCTGCTGGAGCTGCCTCAACTAACAAAACTGACTCCCTTATACAAGGAGCATATTGGGGCGAGTTCTCGTACCTTGATCTGGAAAGAATGCTGCAAAAATATTTTTCTGGCAGTAGAAAGTGGAACAGGAAGCATTAACAACTTCTGTTTTGGGATAGTGTCTCAGAAATCGGAATACTAGTGCCAAAACCGGTTTGGCTCAATGGATAGAGCGTCGGCCAGTGGACTGAAAGGCCCAGGTTCCATTCTTGTCAAGGGCATGTATCATGGTTGTGGGGCACAACCCCAGTAGGGGGTGTGCAAGAGGCAGCTGATCGATGCTTCTCTCTCATCGGTGTTTCTAACTCTCCCTCTCTCTTCCTCTCTGTAAAAAAGTCAAAATATATATTTTTTTTTAAAAGAAAGAAAAGAAAAATCTTGTGGGGAAAAAGAAAAAAGAAAAAAAGAAATCAGAATACTATTATGATCTCGCAGGGAGTCTCTTGGCTCCATAGAAACTTCCTGGTATTTAGATTTAGGACTCATAGCAGATGGCAGAATCAGCAACCGTATCTCTGCCCTCTAAATCCCATATCCAGGGCCTGATGAAATGCTTCCTGTCCCCTCCTATACTCCTTCACTCCTCGCCAGTCAAATGCTGCCTAATGCTCTGTACCTCTCTCATACGTAGCACTTACCACTTTCTACTTTGCAGGTTGGTATTTGTGTATGTGACTCATCTGCTGAGTGCGACCTTAAAACTCTCCTGTGTTAGGAGTGCAAACTCCTTACACACGGAGCGTGCTCAATAAATAGATACTGACTCAGGCAGGTCCATGTTCTCTGAGTCAGTGCAGGTACTGTTAGGAAAAGACTGGGATACTGAACCACAACTCAGAGTTTCAAACCCACTTCTTCATTTGCACAGGGATAAAAAAATTGCTAAATACTAGTCATGTTGAATGAATTTCTACATAGCTTTTTGCGTGTTCTAACAAACATCTGTCAGGCCCTCACTGGAGGGTTGGCAGTCCGAATACAGAAGAGTGCATAGTCTGATGAGAAACACAAACTCACAACCAGATGGGTGCAGTGTGGAAAGGGCCATAAACATAGCTCACAGGAAATACTGTAAGTGCGCGGAGAAGGGAGTGGCTGGCTCTGCCTGGTGGCTAGGAAACCAAGCCCTGCAAGGTCAATCGCAGGGGAGGTTCTGGGAGTCCCGGCGGTCAGGTGGCTGAGTGTTCAGAGCCTGTGTGATGGTTTCAGAGTCACAGGAATGAGAGAGGTCGGCATCTTTCCATTCCCTCTTGCAAATGTAAGAGCGTCTGTTTCTCCCTAGACCCTCAAATAGTTGGGAGTAGCTATTTCTACAAAGAGGGCAGGGATTCTTCCTCTCCCCCCCCACCCCCCATGGCTTTCAGATGATACAGAAGCACTTAGCAAAAAAACTGCAATCACTTCATTTAAAATTTGCAGCTGTTTATGAACAAAACTTGTTCTGAGATTATGTTCATAAAATTCTCTCAACCCTAATATTTCTACGTTAATTATTTGACAAATATGCACCACGTGCCTGGGGTGTGCCAGCTTCTGCTCTAGGAGTCGGAGTCCAGCCCCAGCTCCCATCTGCCTCCTCTTCGACCTTTACCAGAAGCAAGGTGCAGAAGTCGGGAAACCGTCTGACAGCACTGTTTTCATAGTGATATTTACCAAGCACTCAGAAACCAAACGTTGAATGGCAGAGTGAAGCTGAGAAATGAGATGTCTTTCTGGACGACGCAGTAGGGAATTCCATTTGGGAGGGGCGGGGCCCAAACTCCTTCCCACATCATCTGAATAATTTAAGGCCTTCTCTGCTCCCTCTTTACTCTGACCATAGTGCGCAGGCCTTTTGAAAAGCAATAGGACAAACAAAAATAACAATTCCAATTTTTCTCTCCAGGAGAAGAAATAATTTCAAATCCTCATGTTTCTAATATGATTTAGAAAAATCTAAAGTAGTGCCAGGTTTGCAAAGTAATAAATATGGTAACTGAGAATAAGCTTTTCTAATACATCTTACTTGAGATTTCCTCTGACCTTTTTTTTTTAAATGAAAGTTTACCAGTTACATTTCTTCAGATTAAAGTATTATTTTCAAGTCATGTTATGACCAACAGATTATGACTAATGAGTTTTTATCCATTGGACAAGAATTTATTGAGTGCTTACTATGTGCCAAGCCCTACGGATACAAAGTCGGAGCTCCGGGCATCAGGAAGGACCACAGTCTAATAAATAATTTTAATACAGTGTAATAAATACAATTATGAAAGCATGTCAGACAATTAGTGGTGACAAAGAACACACAGCCCTTCAAATAGTTGGGAAGGAAGGAGTTAGGAAAGGTTTTGAAAAAGAAATGATGTGAATGGGTGTGAAGATGAAAGGCAAGTTGTAAAGATTCAGGCCGCAGAGAATGTGTTCTTAGTGTCTGAGCATATGCAGTGGAGTCTAAGTTGAAAGACACCGTGTAGATCTTCCGGTCCAGTGGCCCAGTCACAAAATCCCTGATGGTGTAACTGATGCATTCGTTTTCCATTGGTGCTCTGAGTACAGCTGTACACTTCTTCCAGAACTAGGGGTTGGGTAGATTTAAACTGCCTGGGGCACCTATCTATCATTTACGTTTATTTCATATATTAGTTTACATGAGTTTTTATTGGAGAGAAATAACACAGTTCTGTTACTAAAAACTATTGGTCTAGTACAAAGAGCATGGGACATGTGGGAGAGTCTTTTATTGGTGCGCTTAGCAAATGAAATTCAGTTGTTTCATGTAGGAGAAAGTGATCTGTTAGCTGTAAGGCACTAAATATATTTAAATTATTTTTAAGTCATTTGGGCCTGAGTTCCTTCATCTGAAAAATGAGGGTGTTTCACCCAGAAGTCTCAAGTCCCCTATAGCTCTAGACTTATGTGATTTGTGGTTACCCAGTTTTCCCTTAGCTAAATCTAAAGACAAGAATGCCTTGTCAGTGTATCCCTTCCACCGCTTTTGACAAGACATAACATTGAAATTAAAGCATCTTGTTTTGTGAATTATGACTAGTAATTGTTTTTGTAAATTGCAAATACACACAAAGCTGAGATGAGACTGTGTGGTTCATAGGCTGTGGACATTGTAATGGCTAGTAATGTTTGTTTGTTGCACATATGCCCAAAGTCACATGCTTCAAATCTTGCTTTTAATAAAATATTTATGTTCTTTCGGTAGCCAGAAGTGCAACTTGCTGAAGGCTTTGATGTGTTTATGCCTAAATCTCAGCTGGACTCTATATTGTCAAACTACACTCGCTCAGGAAGCCTTCTCTTTAGAAAACTGGTGTGTGCGTTTTTTGATGACAAGACTTTGGCTAACTCCTTACCCAATGGGAAGAGGAAAAGAGGACTCAATGACAACCGGAAAGGACTAGACCAAAATATTGTGGGTGCAATAAAAGGTTGGTCTGCATCATTTCATTTTATGGGTTCTTTGTTGAGCTTTGTTTCATTCCATAAAGATGCAGCTGAATGAGTAGAGGTTCATTTAATAGGCCGTTGGCATGGTTTTTGAGTGTGAGTTTCGTAGCTCCCTACTCTAAATACCACAAGAATTTGATAAGGTTCTAGTGATGTTCATCTGTTAAAATAACAGTTTAAGAACTAGTATAATCCGCTGCTGAACTAAAAATAAAAAATAAAAAGTTGATTCTTAATCGGTTTTTAAAATGAAGATATTTTTCCTCTCAGTAATTTCTAACTAAGAACTTCATCAAATTTCACCTTAAATTTTTAATTGTAAATAAGAATAAAGCTATGATGTATTTTTGAAAATAAAGTAAAACTGTTGTCTCTAAAGGTCAGAAGTTGCTTTTAGAAGGTCATTGCTTCCAAAGACATTTTAAATATAAACGAACCCACTAGGAAACCAAACCCTTTGCATCTCTACACACTCCTGGTCTCCTCTGCTCTCCTGGCTTTGTGACATGGAGTCATGCAGGTACATGCAAAAAAGACCATGAATGTCTTCCCTTCAGCCCCTGTGAACGTGTGTCTGAATTCCACCGCATTACAATAGCCATTCCGGTGCATGTATGAGGATATATAAATATATATAAATGTACTCATTTATATTCAGATCCAGATCCTAGACCTATTTCTTAATTTTAAAATGTTCTTTCTTAGGGCTGTGATAGATGTTATTTTAGGAAATAGAAGTATATGTTTATTTTTTTTAAGGAATGTAAATGAATTCTCAACTATAAATACAATTACCATGAAAATGGAATTGTGCATCAGGCCTTAATGATGACTAGAATCACTGCCTCAGGTCCTGCATTTTTGGCTTGTGGCCTGGGACGGAATGCAGAGCCCTTTCCTCCCCACCCTGGACCCGTTATTCTGCAAAAGGAGCAAAGTAATTTAATAGTACTGAAGGGTACTTGGAAACCCACAATGCACCTCACAAAGTAATATGATTTTTAAATGGAGTCAGCAAGTTCCAGACACCTTTTGTTATGGCCGGAAGGACATAAGCCTCATTAACAGAAAATTTTTCATTCTCCAACAGAATTTTTTTCACTTAGAAGTGATAGTTGAGTCATCTTAAGTAAGAAAAACTATAGAGATATCACAATCGGTGTCATTTCTGAAAAGATTGATTTGGCCTGAAGCGACACTAACAAGATTGCAGGCTTTGGGAATGGTCAGTGGTGAGCTTCAGTGGGGGTGAAGATGAGATGTGGCTGTGGGAGACAGGAAAGTCAAGGCTGGTGCTGCTTTTCATTGCTGAAGCTTTGAAACACTGAGATGGAGCCAGGATTTGTTTAATTTTCTTTTTTGGGGGGACAGTGTACTAAGATTATAAAAGTGTTTGGAAATTGGGGAAACATAAATGACCATGTTTCAATTTAACAATAGAAGAGTTACCCTAATAATAGGTGGTGATGAAATATATCATTACTAATAGACTCATATGGGTTTATACTGCTGTTTTCAAGCTAACTGGACATCACACAGTAGTTTAAAAATGTGTATTATAAACAGAAATAGAGAAGATGCCTTAATTTTCTTCACAGCCCTACTCTTTAGTTAGAAATAAATGTGGTAATGAGGTTTCTGCTCCCTGTGCATAATAAAAGTTTTTCAAATCAAAGAACTTAAAGTTTCTATACCCTTCTTATGTTATTGAATTAAATTTGCATTAAAAATTATTTTAGAACAACAAAATAACTATGAAATAGGCAGAAATCTAGCCATAAGCCAACAACAACCTAAGTCAACAAATATATATTCATTTGTTTCCTTACAGTGATTATTCATAGACTTTTTTTTTTTGTTTTTTTTCCTGATTACAAAAATAAAACGTCTGTAAAAATTCCAGACCATAAAAAAAGGTATGGAAGGCTGAAAGGCTTCATAATTTCATCCTGCAGAGATTACTGTGTACTTTTCCTACAATCTTTACTTAAAGTATGGATGTGCTATAGTTTATCTTTCTTAATAAGAATATTCTCTTTGTACTTAATGGTCAGCTGGCATTCTCACCTGATTGATTCTTATTATTTCTTGTATCTTGAGGACAAGCTTTGTCTTAAATATTTTTTATTACTTGTTGCACTTTACTGAGCTTTGTACAGAGTAGGATTTCTGAAAACACACATCAGATGAGTGGGATAGAAAGGATTTTATTTTTCATCTTGACTTTAGCCTAAATTTATTGACCTATTGGGGTCTAGCACTCACCATGAATCCTTTTGTCTTCTCACAACTCATTTGTAATGATCAACATCAAAACATTGTTATGAATTTCTACTGGGTAATAAATTGTCATTAAAGCAAAAAAAAAAAAAAAATAGAAACCGAAATTGAATATAAATTTTAGTACATTTCTCTTAATTCCCTAATACTTTTTTCCTTTGTATATTATACTTTAAAAGTTTATTAACCTACATATTGTAATATAAAGTGATTTTGGAAGTAGCTATTAATTGAAGGTCTTTTAGAATAATTATATTCCGTTTTTCTTGATATTAGTAGAGAGAAAAAGAAAAATTTATTTCCCTAACCCAGGTCTTTTGAACCTGAGCAAACTGAGAAAGTGATAAAATCATTTCTTTCTACATAATAGTGACAAGGCTACTTGTGTTACTACTACAGACTTTGAAAAGATTTTGCAAATATTAAATATTCAGTCTTCCTTTTTCTGTCTTTTGAGATAATGCACCAATACTATATTAATGTGAAACATTCTACAACATAGGAATATACGAAGACTGGTAGATTTTATAAAATCTGAGGAATAAAAATAACAGTGGAGCCTGGATTTTCTTTCAAAGGTATTAGGTTGGCTAAGATAGCAATGGGAAAAGAAGTGAATGGAAACCTCTAAAATGCTTATAAATAGGAACAGAAATGGACTGCAAAAGAAAAGAATTTATTGTGTAATAAATATAGAGATCTCTGTAGTGATAATTAATATTCCCCATGACAGTATCTTAAAAATAAAATAGAAATCTCTTTGTAGAGATCACACTTTTCACATAGTCTCATCTGTTTTATGGTGGCTTACAGATATTGGTAATTCATTAAAAATTCATTTATAGGTATGACCCAAGGATCCTTAATGAGTAGTACACCTGAACTCTTTGAGTTCAACTGGGAAGAAGCAGCGTATGCTCTTATTAAGTGGAGTCTGAGGTCTTGGTGCTGAGGATAGTTTAGCATCTTTGATTTAATTTGGAAACTGTTTTACAGCCAGATCACAGAGGGGAGTTAGTGCCCTGTTATGCTCTACTCACTTCATGCTATACCTGCTGAAGACCATCTGATTCTTGATATCATTTACCAGGAGACCATGAGTTAGAGCCACCTAAATAGTGATGAATCATTGGATCTCTGAATGCTCTGCAGAAAATATAGTTACCACAAAGCCATTTTTAGAACGTGGGTTATGATTTCTCATAGACATTAGCTGAGAAAGTTTTATTAGTATCAAACTACATTAGATTCTTAAATCTTCTTACATTCCAAGGAAATTACATATGCTGGTCAAGTGATAGTAACTTCTAGGTTTTCTCAGGACTCTCTGTGAGAACGAGGCTGAAATATCAGCTTGCATTTGAATATCCTTACAGTGTTGATTTTATTTTCACTTACAGGAGAGGAAACTAAGACTATGAGAAATAAACTTACTTTAATTAACTTAAACAGCTAGTAAGTGGTAGAGCCAGAATTTAACCCCAGGTCTCTCTGACCCTAAAGCCATTGTCATGTGTTTCATTCCTTTTAGGAGTATTTAAAAGAGAAGAAAGGTATCCCAATTTTAAATTTCTATCTTAAAATTTAGCATTTTGAATTCCTTAGAAATTTCACTAGAAGACTGTCATATTACTTACTTAAAACAACCAGTCAGTTGTTGTATATGCAGAGCACACTCAAAGTAATTTGAGGGTAAAGTATAGCCATGCCTTAACTTAATTTACTCACTAGCTTCCAGAGCAGGTCTTTCCCTGAAGACAGTGAGACTCAGGCCCATCATACAGGGAGGAAAAAGGAAGAGTGACCCCTTCCTTCAGGAAGGAGACACTTCTGAGACTCTCCTAGGACACAGAACCACAAAGAAAGAGTTTGGAAGTCACACTGCACCTAAGTTGTCTTTCAAAGGATGTAAATTCTAGTTTAATTGTTTGGCAGTTGGAACCCATTGATGAATGCTTTAATTCAGAAATCGTTTTGGAAGATGAATAATTATTGTCAACTCATCTGCTCATATTTTCACATATCAGGTCAGCTTCAAACAGGATAGAGCTGCCTAGTATATAACAACAAAATGATATATAACAATGTATAATGACATCAGACACATAGCTTGTCTCTCAGCTCTGTTTATAACTCCTGCCCAATGGTGGTGGTTTTTATCTTCCCGCTTTTCATGTGGCCCAGTGACAGAGAGGTGATGTTGACTCTTGCCCCTTCTATACGAAGAGCATATGTTCAATCCCTTCACAGAAGCTTTCCTATTCTAGTGTGCATCAGCATTACCTGAGGCATTGGTTCAAAATCCAGATTTTTAGGTTGCATCCTTAGAGAGTTATTTCATAGGTAGCCCCAGAAATCTGACTTGAACATGGGTGTTCAGACCACCCTGGAGAAGCACTGCCACCCCAGCTCCTGATCCCAACAGCCCATCCGGGCCGCATGCAATAGCCCTCCGTGAAACTCTTCCTTTCGCTGTTCCTAAGGGCACCCCATTTTCTGAAGGCTGCCCTACTTCTCTCCTGGATCAAAGGGGAAAATAGCCCTCACCCTTTGAACCTCTGGGGCTTAAAATGTTTTTTTTTTTTTGTCATGTCACAAAGGGTCCTGGCCTCAGACTTGCCCGCAGTGCCTCTCCAGGACCTGACTGGGCCGCCTGCCTCACCATGCTGGAAGGAAGGCGTTCCAGACGTCAGCACGACTT